AAGATTAAATATTCAATGAAGAACAAAGAATAGAACTTAGACTTGTAAAATCATTGAATTTAGCCCAAAATTTGCGAGCTTTAAATTAAAAGTGTGCTCGCAATAACCTGTAGAATGGACCAAATTCAGCTTTGTCATTTAGAGATTTGAACTCCTTGAAAGTCTGTGATAACGAGACTTAAAATTTCTGTCTAGGAGACAGATCAGTCAATAGCCATGGAAACTACATTCTTCTCTTTCTTACAGCCTTGAAACAAATGGCTGGTCACAGAGCACTGACTTTCCTCATGGTTCCCAACAGCATTCAGGAGGTACAATTCCCAGTACAAGCTAACACTGCTGTAGCTTACTCCTCCCATAAAAGAGGGACACCACCCATGTTTGTTAGGAAAATGCTTACAGACAGTTACCATGGAGTAGCTGATGGGTCATAACTTGCTGTCCTGCAGCCTGTCTGCCCATTTTTGAGCAACTTTTTTTTTTGGTTGATTTCTTTTCCATTTACAAATAGAGTCTTAATATTAAATTACAAGGTAGTACATTTCCTTTAATAAGAACTTGGTGTTTTGACAGAGTGCATCAGGAGATTTAATGATCAGAAACATCCAGCTGAAACATAGTGGAAAATATGTTTGTATGGTGAAGACAGAAGTGGATAGCGTAGCATCTGCAGCAGACCTTATCGTACGAGGTACGTTTCAGCTTCAATTACCATATTTTATAACTTTTGTATAATGTAGATTACAGAAACAACTGATACTGGAGATTACAAAACCCAGTTCATCTATGACTTGAATTATGTGATTCTGCCTTGTGGTTAGGGAGAATTTTAGCTCAGTTTTTGGACGAAACTTAATTTTTCCCAGAGAAATTAAGAGCTGAAGGATAAATAAATCTTGACTTCGCTTTTTTTCTCACTGACAGTCGTTCAAGCCACTGATGAGAGGGAAGAGGAGTTACTTCAGCTCCCTTTTCTGGTGCAGATGAGACAAAACCCAGCGTTTTTGCCAGGATGCCCAGAATCAGGTTTTTCTGGAAGGCAGCAGAAACCTCACCTGACAGAATTGCTGCTCGGGGTGCTGATCGGATGTTGTGCTGAAAAATGGCTACAGTACAGTGCACAGTAAAACAGCTGTAGATAACAAATTGGCAACAGAAATGCATTAGTAGATTAAAAGAGGACATCGAGGACTAAAGTAAAAGACATTGGAAAGATAGAGGGATCATGTTGAACAAAGGTCTTGCAAAAACAAACAGCATCCTGTCATCTGTGCTGCAGTTCAGAGTATGTCAGAATTAGATTAGCAGAGTGAAGTTTAGTGAATGTAAAACAATAATTACAAGTGTTCTTATTCCAAGCTGAATTGTTTTCTTCCTCCCACGGCGCTGATAAAATCGGAATCCATATTGCTATGTTAGTGATTTCCAGGGCACTGGCTTTACAAAACATCATCTGTTTTTCAATCTGATTCTAGGCTCACCTGGGCCCCCTGAACACGTGAAAGTGGATGAAATAACTGATACCACGGCTCAGATCTCCTGGCAAGAAGGCACAGATAATCACAGCCCAGTAACCACTTACACCATACAAGCAAGGACACCTTTCTCAGTTGGCTGGCAGCGAGTTACAACAGGTAAAAACACAATTCTTGCTACAGGTTCTGCTGAAATGTTTATGACCAGGAACACCATGTTCTTAGTTTCTTTTTTCTTTTTGTTTTTAATAGTTCCAGATGTGATCGATGGAAAAACGTTCACAACCACGGTAGTGGATTTAAATCCTTGGGTTGAATATGAATTTCGCGTAGTTGCCAGTAACAAAATAGGAGGTGGAGAACCTAGTTTACCCTCAGAAAAAGTAAGAACTGAAGAGGCAGGTTAGTGGGTTCTTCTATTTGTTTTTAATTCAAGAATCTTAAATAGTGACAAAAAAGGAGCGTTCATATCCTTGCCTCTTTTCAAAGACTGGAATTACCATTGAATAGAAAGCCTATAACTGGTTTGTTCATGATTTTTGCATTTAGTTGTGGGACAGTTTGTGTTGCATTACTGAACATCACAGAAGCATTAACATCTAAACACATTTATGCTCTATTTAGTATGCCAAAGTCTGTCAGTTCAGGCGGTGCTGCGGAGTCTGAAGGTACTAATGGATGGAAAGAGGTTAACTTTGACAGCATTTTTTCATTGCTAGTGTTTGATCAGCTTACACCTTCCACGTAACAAGCATGTGGCTCGGAAGAACGCATCAATTAATTAAAACCCCAGGAGTTTACTTGGAATAAGGCCATTGCCCAATACATCTGCATAAGTTAACCCTATTAGAAAAAGTGAAGCAGGCCTCTAGTTTCTAGAAGTTCATAAGCATTAGCGTGCAGGGTTCAGTCTGTGAGCTAGTGAGGTTCTCCACGTGCTCAGAAAACCATCGGAAAGCAGCAAGGTGAGGGCAGGATGGTGTCGGGGCTTTCCAGGACTGCCCGCTCTGCCTCAAAAGCATTTACCTCGATTTGCAAAAGCAATACAAGTACAACTGGCTTAGCTTCCGAGCACGAGGTTAACGTTATGTGATGTCGTCTCTTGTATCTACCCTGTGTAGACAGCTATACGTTTCCTTTTCACAGTTCCTGAAATTCCCCCATCTGAAGTCAGTGGGGGAGGAGGCAGCAGGTCTGAACTGGTCATAACATGGGATGTAAGTTTTCTGGCAAGCCGTTTTCTTCAGAGAATGATTGCTTTCATTCAAACGTTGCTTAAAAGATGAATTTCCCTGGCTGCAGCCGCTTCTCATCTAGGATGTATATGTGCTCGGTAACGTTCTGGAACGTGAGCTATGCACGTTTGCCTTCCCTCTTGCGCTCCCCCGTGTTCCTGTGCCAGGCAGCAATCAGTAGGAAGTGCAGTTTGCTTGTCTGAGATTGCTTCTGTTCTCAAAGAAACGTTTAGCTAAGAAGGGGGAAGGAGGGTGGGGGAAGAAGAAGGGGTGTTGCTCAAAGGTTGAGCCCGGAATGAGCCCAGGATGCTGCTTTTCTTTTCAGTGCAGCTTTGCAGTTCTTGCTTTCTTACCGTTAACTCTGGACGCGTGTGCCTGCCAGTGCAAACGCTCAAGTACTGCTGTGTATTACCTAGCCTGTTTTTCAAGAGTTAAAAAATGTTCACATACTATTAGAAACATATACTGCTCTGTGTGGTTACCTAATAATAATCACATCAGAGGAAGGTATAAGCCACTGAACAAAGGTAGTACTGGATTCTATAGGTCCCTTCCAACCCTAACCATTCTGTGATTCTATAGTAATTGGCTAAGCAATTATTAATTTTTTTATGGCTATGTATTGTGACCAGAAACTGGAAAACAAAGTTATTTATTGAGGAGTGTCTTAAAACAGTATATTTACTGGAAAACAAGGAACACACCTGAAAGTTGCTCTCTTCTTGAAGTACAAACCTTAAAACACATTCAGAGGAAAACGTTTTGCTCTGCTGTACCAGAGTTAATTTGTTGATGGAATGATCCCAAATGCAGTAGCAGAACCTGGTTACAGTCGTGTACATTTGTCTGTCGGTATTTTCAGCCTGCAAAATATTTCCAGTGTTTTAAGTAACATCACGGACTTCTGTCATCTTGTGCTTTTCTCACAGCCCATCCCTGAAGAATTACAAAATGGAGAAGGATTTGGCTATGTTGTTGCTTTCCGCCCCTTTGGCACCACAACATGGATACAGACTGTTGTCACCTCTCCCGATACACCCAGATACGTCTTTAGGAATGAAAGCATCTTGCCCTTTTCGCCATATGAAGTCAAAGTTGGTGTCTATAACAATAAAGGAGAAGGGCCCTTTAGTTCAGTAACCACAGTTTTTTCAGCTGAAGAAGGTATGTGATTGATTTATCTCCCGATGATTGAGCTGATTGTTTATTTAACATGAGATGTTTCATCAGAGAATACAGCGACAGTTAAATGAGATCGCTTTGAATACAGATGTTTTTATTTCCACAGTCACCAGTGCTGCTCATCTCTCATTTATTGATTTCCGAATCCAGAGCCCAGCATAGCACCCTCCGGAGTATCTGCGACGAGTCTGTCGTCCTCAGTCATCGAGGTCTCCTGGAAGGCCATTCCCTGGAAGATGAGCAGCGGACGGTTGCTGGGCTACGAGGTAAGCTCCTTTAAAATACGCTCCCGTTTGTAAAGGGTTGTGAGCCAGAAGGGCCATGCAGGCTGTAGGACAGCAGCACAAATTCACAAAAGATTACCACGTATCTTGCTTTCGTCCTGCCCCACCTACACCCTGAAGAACAGTATTTTCTTTTAAGTATCTCTGAAAACAAAGAACACAGAATGAAACCGTGTTTGGTTCCTGTGCTGATAATCATGCATCTGTCTTAACAGTATTTTCAAACTGACGTATTTTTTCAGAATTACATTTGCTTCCAAAGACACGATTTTTTGTAAGATACAGTTTTCTGAGTTGTACTTGTTTACTTTTTAGATGAAGTAATGATTTTCCTCTTGTCATCTTTTTAATTCAAGCAAGATCTAATATTTCAGGTTCCCTTTTCCTACAGTCGCACTCAAAAGAGCAGCAAGCGTGAAAGGCTGATAGATAAGAATTTTTTTTACGTAGTAAACATATTTTTGAAACTTCAATGTATTTCTACCTTTTTCATCTGAGAAAAAAAAATGCACGTAAAGGAGTCAAATGCAATGCTATGGGTGAACAATCCATTCCATGCAAAATTTTAAATGGTTTTGGTTTATATCTACTAGGTTAGGTACTGGAATAATGGTGGAAAAGAAGAATCTTCAAATAGAGTGAAAGCTGCAGGGAATGAGACATCAATAAGAATAACAGGTTTGAAGAGCAACTTAGCATACTACACAGCTGTCCGTGCTTACAACAGTGCTGGAGCAGGTCCCTTTAGTGCCACAGTAAATGCTACCACAAAAAAGACACGTAAGTATCTTGGATTTAAAGTGGGGAGAGACATAATGGTGAGAGACATAATGGTGTGTAAGCACTTGGCAAGCAAATGAAAAATAGGTGTGTTCCTGAGACTCACAATACACATAAATGACCTAAATTTTCATACAGACTAGAAGTGTAACACAATGAAATCGAGCATAGATCTTCCATTTTCTACCCTCTGCTACTTTAGCAGGATGAGTAAGTAAAACTCGACTATGTCAGTGGAGCTGAAGTAAGATATATGATTTCTGCATAGAACCTTTATTATTCTTCTAGTGACTGGAAGAATTTTAAAAGAAAAATTTCTGTTATTTGGAAGGGAAAAGAGAGACTTGTTGAATTTTTCAGGGTTTTATAACATATTTATAAGTTCTCTAGGGCATGGCTTTTGAAATGCAATGATCCTCATACAATTCATGCAAAACAATCCTTCATGCCCATTGTTTCCTGTTGAACAAATTACACAAGGAGGCCACTTTCCTATTAAAAGGAGAAATTAAGCTGGAGAACAGATTGTCAAAGGCTGCACTATTTTGTCTACAAATTTAAATATTTTTAGTATGCTCTTGCATTGTAATACAACGCAGAATCAGGATCATCAATCTTGAAGTACTTCTGTCAGACTCACAAGAAGGTACAATTAAATCTATCTGAAAGGTCAGATTCCCTGGAATAGTCTTAACGTCCTTCTACCAAAAGTAGTCACATCATCAATATTACGAAATAAGCTAGTTTATCAGAAATGATTAAATGCAGAAATGAGTGTCACACTCTGTCACCAAGGACTTAAACCAACTCAGATTATTTTATGTTTGCTAGAGTTTAAATATCTTATATGCATCGTTACCAGAAATTGGCTGATACCAAGGAACTTGCTGCCTGTAGCCTGTACCTGACATGTGATGAATAGTTTTCTCCAATTAACGAGCCGTGTGCCTACTGGCTGCTCACTAGAGGTTGTGCTAGCCTGGTCAGCTCAGTGATTTTTCAGTCCTTTTTTTAGTGACCACCTGCCTTTGAGATGTGCAAAAGCAAACTGGACAGGCGCCTGATCCCACTGATTTGAACAGGAGCTGGATCAGGCCCTTAGTCAAGATCTCTCCTATTTGGAATAATTAAAAAGAAAAAATAGTTGCACTACATCCATGTATCTTGCTGGTGAATAAAGAGAGCAAAAACCACTGCAGTACAGTGACAATCTGAGGGATTTTGCTATCTACTAGTTGAACTAACAGACAACTCTCTGTACCGCTGCAGTAGAAACTCATTTTTCATTCAAATGTGTGATTTTTGATCAATCCCCATTTCTACCTTAACTAACTTGAATGTTTGTGACTGATGTGTTTTTCACTGTGAAGGATTGCTGTGCACATTGCATTTGCATTCACACTCATGACATACAAACTACTTCTTAGGAACTATTAACCATATCAAGAAACACAAATACTTAAGTTCAGTTGGCAGTATATTTCAAGATTGAAAATTCAGTGTTTATTCTTTGACCATTAAAGTATCTTTGCTTTTATATTTGAAATAAATCTTCATGTTCCTAGCCCAAAATAGTAGTTTTGTTTTATAAAATACTGCTATAGAAAATGGCAAATAACTGGGGAAGACTTGCCTAAGTTTATAAGGCAAGATGTTAAAATTATTTCGTATTTAGAAGGTCTTAAAATACAACAGAATGTTCTGTCCATTGGTTCTAATTCAGAGAAATACTACTGTGCATGACCAACTTGAAGCATCTGAGGAGTCTCAAAGAAAGAATCCATGTAGCTATTTGCATGCTTGACACTGGACATGGTGATTACGTGACGTGGTGGTTCAGGATCTGACCTATTACAAATTAAATTCTGCAGTTCTGAACACTTAAGATTATTGGAGATTTGGGTATGTGAAGTGAATTGGAGCCTTCTGAATCATTGCTGTAAGTCAAGTGGCAGATAGAGGCTTACGGTTTTTATATATAATTACTCTTCATTTTTTCAGATGTCAGATTAATATTTTGTTGTGAATTTAAAAGAATGACTCATTTCTTTGGAAATTCAGCTTTAATATCTCAGTGTGAAAACTATTCATATGTGCTGTAATACTCAATTCTCAGGAGTAAAAATCTCCTCTTACATTTACAAAAAGTGGCTATTAGTGCATCAGGTTAGATCCTCTCTAGTATATAGAGCAAGGCAAATACTGCAAAAAAAAGTATCTGTGACTTGTTTGACTTGAGAATAATTCTTTTAAGTCTCGCTCTTACATATTTGTGTCTTCTTTGTGTTAAGTAGTACAGTCAGGTGGGTGTTGATCTGACTGCTCAAGTAAAGAAGGTAGGGAGCTACCTGGGTGAAAGAGTTTGAAAATAAGAGAGGGGGTGGGAAGGAAAAAACCCATAAGCACATGCAGAGGAGTGTTTAAAACCACTGTCAGTGTTTTTAACACTGGAACCTTCAGCATCAAAGCATGTCCACCTAAGCAGCAGTTGCCTCCACTAGGTGACAGCAACAGTAAATTGTTTTCCTTAACACATTTAGAAAAGATTTTAATCGTCGATTATGTCACTTCATGACCCATTTTCTGGGAAAGCAACTTGAGGCATCTTAAGAGGTTTGTGCTTACCTTTGCCTTCCCTGAAAGCTTGGCAGTTTCAAGATATATTAAAGTGTACAGCCAAAGGAATACTGCTCCTTTTGAAAGTAACAGTCTCAGATTGTTAATGAACAAGAAAACCCCAATAGATTTTGGTGGCCAAAGCCCACTATTGTTCCAACTGCAGATACTGAAATGAAACAGACTGCAGTTGAAAATCACGCCTTGAGTTAAAAGAAAAAAAAAACAACCTGTCAAATATTTTTACATTACAGACATGTTAAAGTAAATCAGCATAGCGTGTACATTTGAATATTCACTAAGACTACATTTGTCTAACAAATACTCTATTATGAAGCATTTGCTTATTCTTAGCAATATATTAAAACAAGAAATTGTCTGTTGCCATCATTGGTTTCATTAGAGTTTGTTCTAATTGATCACCCATGTCCTAAGACATATGCTTTGTTTGGCTGTATCTAATGAAGAGCCATCAACAGATAATGCAACTTCAGAAATAACATTTATGTGCCATTCTGGTTTTCCTTCCATTTTTCCAATTTAGTCTCTGAACCATAAAGTGTGCGAACGATGAGGCTGCATGAGAGTTCCTTTTGCATCCGACATGTAATGACAGTCAATTACCTGAACTATTATTTCCTACTGTGGAATAAATCACTAATGCCAATTAAATTAAAGTCATACTTTCATTATATATTTGAAGCACCCAGTCAACCACCAGGAAATGTTGTGTGGAATGTCACTGACTCCAGAGTAATCCTCAGCTGGGAGGAAGTAAGGGCTATGGAGAACGAGTCCGAGGTGACTGGCTATAAGGTAAGTGAAAACAGACCAAAAAAATACCTGAAAGCAATCCATAGTTTGCTTTCCTTGTCTATTTGCAAGGCAGTGAGTTCACAGGATGCACAATACCACATCTAAACCATTTCAGCAGTGTCTCCTTTTTGTAGATTTAAATCATGTTCTAACAATGTCTCATAAACCTTTTGGTGGTCCTTTTACCATTAATGGTTCACTAAACGCCTTCTCCTCCTCGTGCAAACAAAGCCAGGAGCTGCAGGCATTGCTGCCACCTCTTGGGATCCACTTATCCAAACGTGTAACACTTGGATGTTGTAACATGTATAACACTGACCGCATGTATAACACACCCTATAGATATATAGCACTTATATATTTGGATAACACTTGGATGTTGTAACATGGATGTTATACAACACTTGTTACATGCATAACACTTACTATAAATACATAATGCTTACCAAGCATATAAGATAATCCAAGATTTAGCTGATGGGTATAGTTTCCATTTCTTGCTGGGTATATTTATTAGAACTACGTATATCAAACTGATACTCTTAAACCTTTTTCTTCTTGCCTACTGTGGGACGTCCTCATTGCCTTGATAGAAATTACATTGCTACATCTACTCTGAATCTGATCAGTGCACAAATGTACAGATATTGTTTAAATATGTCATATACCTTAAATACGTTTAAGAGAAGAACTGAGGATGTTCTTGATACAGCTGGATCCCACATCCTGCATATAAGATTCATGTTGAAGATGTGACTGTGCAGTGCTTTGAGTTATATTGGCAAGAATTACATGTTTACAGCTTAGATAAGGCACCTCGTTTCATAGACAGTAGCTGACCTAAAAATACACCATGTAGAGTTTCAAATTGCATACTCTGTCTCCCACAACAATTTCAGGTTCCCCTATGGATAACAAACGTTCCTAAGTACACGAGGATAAGCTGAATTTTGATAACGCTGGTTAATTTTTACTGAAGTAAAGCACTTAGGGGGTCATTTTTATCCCAAAAAGCAAGTGCAGTGCAAACTAAAGTTGTTTTTTTTTTTTAAAGTTGGAGAGTTTCTCCAGAGTGGCAGCCTGTGTGTAATTCCAGTGACTTTGCTTTTTTTTTTTTTCTACTTCATCATTATTGCCATGATATGGGGGGAGTTGGGATTGCTGGTTTTTTGCAATGGGACACTCCCAAGCCTACCTGCTTTTGAAATTCCTGAAACTCTGCCAGGTGAACGCAGTGGACCCACGTATTTTCTTAGCTCCACCAGGACATACCTCTCTTTGTGCCCAGCCTCGCCGCTGGCACTAGGGACCCTTTGGGCTCATCAAGCCTTCAGGACAGGAGAGAGGCTGATGTTGCTCTTAAATCCTTCCTCTTCCCTGATCACATCGAGCAGAGTCTGGCTGTGATGTTCAGAGGTCGCTCCCGTTCTTTGACACACAGGACACCCCGTGCAGTTAAGTTTTGCGACAGAATAATCACTCAGCACTCGCAGAACATCTTCCAGCAGAGTCTGTAGTGTTGGTTGGTTCTCTCCTTCCCAAACGACGTATTGGCTTAAGAAGCTGATCTAGATAGTGCCAGATTCCAAATGGTGGGATAATTTATAGAACAATACATTATGAAGATACTCAACAGGATATATTATTCATTGTTATCGTTATACATTGTGCCATTTTAGATTAAAGCTGGAATAAAAGAGCTTGATTGATGTTACCTTTTTTTTTCAATGTAATTCTGCTGAAAATCTGACCTTTTCTCCCATCCCATCTTTTTAAAGACTGAAACCTTATTTCTAAGATTAAACACCAATAAAAATGGCAGGGCAGGTCCAAGTGGAAGAAATGACATGCTCCACAGCTCTCTGCTTGCATTGCAGGTTTTGTACAGGACCAGCAGTCAGACCAGTGCCAACGTGCTGAGCACAGACAAGACCACAGCTGAACTTCTGCTCCAGTTTAACGAGGATTACATTATAGAAGTAAAAGCAACAACTGATGGCGGAGATGGCACTAGCAGTGATCAGATCCTGATTCCCAGACTAGCCAGTAGGTTGAAGCTGGACCACTGTTATTTTGTCACATGCTTATTTAGAGTCCCCAGCCAATACCAGCACCTCCTTTATGCCTGCCACCACGTAGAGAGGCACGTCTCTGCCTTGATGCAGAGAATTGTTACGGAATTTGGAGTTGACACCCCAGCAGCTGTCACAGCTTGTCTGTGCAGGGAGTGAGTCCTTATTGATGGGGAGAAGAAAAAAAAAATTAATACTTGTATGGTAATAAGGTAATAAAAAGAAAAGCAATTAACAGTCTTCATGCCCTTATGCATGACAAACTTCATTCTATTGAACTGGTAAATTACCATGTAAATTGGTATTAAAAACGTTACTTTTTTTGCCTTTTTTTTTATTACTACTTTGAAAGTAAAGACCATTTGTATAGTGTCAGCATTTTGCAGTACGTTTCTCTAGTTCAAAAATATTTAGCGTATTTTTGTAAATTTTAATTGGAGAAATAGAAGTTTACAGTTCTTTTTGCTTAGCATCTAGGAGGAGTAATATTTGGCATAGCAGATACTCATGCTTTCATTTAATCCTGACCTTTTTCATGTGTCACAGGTATGGATGCAAGAGGTTCTGGTCCATCAGCCTTGAACATCTTCAGTGTATCCAGTTTCTTACCAACAATATTTTCCTTGACTTTTAATTCAGTGTTGTGATGATACATTTTCATTTGCTGGGAAAAGAAAAAGAACCCATTACTACAGAAAAGTGCTTTTTTAAAAAAAACAACTGCAGTGGTTAATGCATGTTTTTCTTCTATCCTGACGTGTTTTTAAATTCTTTATATTTCACTGTAGGTTGAAGTAAAAATATCATGTAAAGTTTAGCAAATCCTTTAAAAGGGAATCTAAAATGCCTTAATACTTGAACCAAAGGAGTTTACATATTACATACTTCAGACACAGTGTAAAAGAGAGGGAGAGCAGTGGCACTACAATCAGAGTTACGAGGAAGAGCTTAGCTCAGTGAGAAACTCCCTTTTTGCAGTGACACTGAATTGTTTTGGGCACGTTCTATGTTGTGACGATAACATCATTCTGCATATGAAAGATGGAATCAGAGACACGGTGTTTCAATCAGATGATAAAATACATCGACCAAGTGGCTGTTCTTAAGACAGTGTCATAATCCAGGACGTTTGGATCCGTTTTCTTACTGCCCTTTACATAAGTTATTCTAAATTTAGCAAGAAATCGAAGCTGGAAGGTAGAGAAAAGGCACAGTATAGATGTTAGTTTTGCACAGTCCGTGTTGGGGTGTCCAAGAGGCAGGGCTTCCACTACTGCTCTTAAGAAATGTTTTCACAGCCGTGTTTCAAAGGCGGCTCTCAGTTTTATCCCAGCATTCATTTATGTACCTTTTCAAGCACCTGACCTTCCTCTCCATCAATAGACTTCAAAGTTAATTTCCATATATCCCCACTAGGTTCTTTATAATCAAGTTCTCCCACCTTCAGGATCAATTTCTTGCCCTTCTCTGAACTCTTGTCAGCGTGTTTCACTAAAACAGAAGTGCCCAGTTGTAAGCGTTACTGAAATGCAGTTGCACCATGGCCTTATGAAAAGGGACTACTACTACCACCTCCCTTCCTTCTGATGTGGTGCTTCCAAATATGCAGCCCCAGATTATCTTGCTTTTTTTGTCTACTGCACTGCACTCTAAACTCATCCTTAATTCAGTGTTACATTCATAACTCCCCTTCCTGCTGCTCTTTAACCAATATAAAACTATTTTCACCAGGTCTGGCGCTGTAACCCACCCCATTACTGTCACATGATTCTGGTAAGTTTATGGCAATACTATAGGTTAGAATAAAAAATTACACAAAGACACTTCAGGCTTGCTATTACAGAGAAATCTATGCTTTCTTTCATAGCAATATATTAAAGAGACATTAAACCTGGTACATTTGACTTCTGTAGTTGTGAATTTAGTCAAATCAGCCTTTTAGACACCTTTTAGAGAGCTGTCTACATGCATGGTAGAGCAAGTGTTCATGTGACATAAAGCACATCTTAAAGACTTTTTTTTTTTTAAATCTCACAGTATTATTACAACACACAGAACTATAAAGGGAGAGAACCAGGATTAATGAAATTACGGTAGCACTGTAGGAAAAATACCTTGATATGCATTCAAATAGCAAATTACCTTATTAGTGTCACATCCAGATGAAAATATGTGCTAACTGTTGAAGTGAGCAAGATCTGTATATACTGTACATATATAGTTATAAATGGCTAGTTGCTTTTCAATGTGGCTAACCAGTGATGTTTTCAGACACTTGCAAACCAGGGGGGCGGGTGGGAGATGGAAAAACAGGTGTTACTAGTAAATATATAGTATGTTTCATGCAACAAAGGGTGACTCTTTCTATTCTTGTTCCACAAAATTCTTGTTCATGTCTTGTATTGCCATTTTAATGCGATTACATTGTATTATTTAATTTCTAGTTATATATCTCCATGAGATATGTACCGAGTACCTTGTTTCATATTGAAAAGTTTGAAATTTATCCTTAAACTTCCCGTTGTGTGTGTATCCTATGGTTATCTGTATGCATTTTTTCTATTACTCTAATAAAATATTTATTACATTGAGGAATACTGAAATATTTCAAAGTAGTATTGCTTGTCTATGTCATATATTTGCACGCACGGGGATTTACTGCATCTAAAAATCCTTGTCTTACGTTCTTCATAGTATTTCTGCTAACTGGCACTTCTTGGCAGGATAGGAGTGGTTTCCCTCACCGTAGCTTTACTGTGCTAAGACTAAAATCCTAACATACATACCCAGGCCTGTTTCTATGGAAAGCAGGGCAGGAGGGAGAAGAGGATTAAGGACATAAATACGTCCCAGTCTTGCCCTAGAGAATTCAGACATGCACGGGGCAGGGGCAGGGACTCGAGGCTCAGCTTGAGCTTCTGAGCAATAACTCTGCCTGCAGGTTTGCAGCACAATGGACAAAGAGCCCCCTCCCTTTCCCATCTATCCAATTAGGCTGTTTCCTCTCCTCTGAAATGAAAAAAAAAAAACAACATAATTATGCTGAAGAGTTAGTTGGTTATAATTATTTAGTATATCACTATTTAGCATTAAATTGCATGGCCTGTTCTCCCCTGCAAATTGCCTATTCCTTACAGACTGCAGCTTCCCATAAAGCCCCAGACTTTCTAGCACTAAAACCTTCTCACTGGGAAAACAGAACTATATATTTTAAGCTTTTAAAGTATAGCTTCTACCTGCGTTAATAGGGAGACGATCCAGATGTTGCAGGAAGGGTTAATAATCCCAACACGTTTACAAGTGTAATGCAAGAAGCAAAACTGCCAGATTTTCCCCTTCAGATGGTTGTAGGTGGACATGTGCCTTGCTCTGTGTCCCCCCTCAACGTTCAGATCAGTCGTCCTTTAAACTGCCCTCTCTTTGTTCCTCATCTCAGGTTAATTCAGGTTAATTAATAAAAATGACTTGATTCTCCAGGGAGAGTTGGAAAAAAATAAGTTGTTATTGGGAAAGTACAGGAGGAAAAGGTGAAGAGACATTAAGGGATAAGGCGAGGTGTCCCTGAGCCAACCTACCTCTTGCAGGCTTTTCCAGAGCAGCTTCTGTGGCTAACCAAGTTTAGAAATTCTGTCCTGGGGAGAAAAACAAGAAAAAAAAAATCAATAATAAGAAAAGATGTGAATAACATCGCTTGTATGGAACTGCTAGTGATGGGGAAGGTAGTTCTGCCGTTCCACTTGTACTTGCACCAAAAATAGCCAGCACTTTATCACTCACGACTCCTATTATTTGAAATCCAGTAGGAAAGAATAGCAGGCTTGAGTCATAGATTTTAGGAAAACACTATTATTGTAAAGTGTATTTTTTTCGATATGCTGCCTAAAAATGTAGCTGTAGTCCTCCAGGCTGCTCAGCAATGCTGGAGGCCACAAGAGCAAAGCCAAAAGCTGGGAGGAGGAACAGGAAGGTGAGACCCTGGGGGGACCTTTCTGCAGCTCCCTGCTGGTGCTGCGAGGAGGGCGAGCACCCACAGCGGCACCACCACGGAGGCTTCTGCAGGGTTCCTCTGGAAACTGTTCCCACAACACGAAACTGGGTGACTCGCTGGGGTTTTTTTTGGGGAACCATGACTCAACCCATTGTGGAAAGGAGAAAGGACACGAGAGTCCTCCCACCAGCTGGGTATGCACACCAAAGTAAAAGGAATTTGATACAGCTTAAAAAAAAAAACCACCAACCAAACATTTGCAACTGCATGTTCCTCCTCTGGAAGCTGTGACGGCATCTGCTGGAAGCCAGTACCGGAGGCAACAGGAGTGCTGTGGTTTGGGATTTGGAGGTCTGGAGGGTAAGGGCTGTTCGTTGGGTTATTTTAGGTGTGGGTTTAAATTTTCCTCACCCTGCACCACTATTTCCCCAATATTTGCTTTCTAAAGGGTTTCTTGTGCCACCTGAGTAATGTGGCACCTGTTGATGACTCCTGTACTTCTAACACCTGAATTTCTCAGAGTTAGCTGGCATAAGAATTAAAAAAAGCCTTTTTCTTTGGACAGTTTACTCTGTCCGATACGTTGCGAACATGCAGGATCTCCTATGAATACAAAACGAGTTATAAACCAATACCACTTTAGCCCTAAGAAATATTGGAGATCTCCATTTTCTACTTAATTTGCCTTTCACTGGTGGAATGCAGACGTGGGCAGTGCCTGTCAGGTTATATATGTTATATCTTAATAACAGGCAATAAAGCAAGCTGTCCTGCATGAGGGAGTGCATTAATCTGACAGCTTTCTGTCTGAAATAAATAACAATGGAATATTGTGAAAATAAAATGACTTTGTAAACAGGCACTCGCCCTCTTAGGAAAAACAACCTCCTCGGTTGTTTTATGCTAATGTTTTGAACTCCTGAAAAGCAATAAAAAAGGATATGTTTAGCAGCCAGAGATTTAACTGAATGCACGTTATTGTTTTATCTGATCAAAAGAGGCACTGCTGTTTCTTCAGATGTGATGCACACGTCGTGCACGCTGCGGCACGATGGGGGAGATGGTGGAGCTCTTCACCGGACCTCTGGCTGTCAGTCCCAGCCTCTTGGAACAGAGCTTCTCCGCGAGGAGTTTTCACGGTTCGTAGCTGCCTCCCTGGCGTGCGCACAGCCCGGCTCTCACCGGGAGGTGGGACGCACAGCCTACCAGAAAGGATGGACATTTGTCTCTTTCCAAGCTGAACATCTATTTCAACAGCCCCAGGAAGCGGAGGCTGCCTGCACCCCACGCACACGGGAGCTGTTTCTCAGAGGTGCTATTAATGTCTCACCTTCAGCTTGGAAGTCTTTCCCAAGGTCAGCTAAGGATGCGGACACCTCGTTAGCATCAGTGGGACCAGTCACTACCATTCCATCAGGGAGCACTGGCTGCCGGACAAGGGGCTGCAGATGGATGCTCCCTTGGCCCCCCTCCCAAAGACCAGTGCATCCCCCAGCGCTGCTCTTGGCAGCCCTTGACCGGCGTAGCAGGTGCCTCATCTTTGCCAGAGGAACACAGCTCTCTCTAGGAGATATCCTCGGAGTACACACGTACGCCTACGCGTACATACGCTCTCCACAACTACAGAGAGTAGCAGGCTACAATAACCCTCGCCTGTCA